CGTACACGCGCTCGCCAAGCGCATGTACGGCGACCTGTTCGCCTGGCTCGTGCGCGCCGTCAACCGCGCGCTCGACACCGGACACGCCAGGAGGCACTTCATCGGTGAGTGATGTCGGTACGTACACGCGCTCGCCAAGCGCATGTACGGCGACCTGTTCGCCTGGCTCGTGCGCGCCGTCAACCGCGCGCTCGACACCGGACACGCCAGGAGGCACTTCATCGGTGAGTGATGTCGGTACGTACACGCGCTCGCCAAGCGCATGTACGGCGACCTGTTCGCCTGGCTCGTGCGCGCCGTCAACCGCGCGCTCGACACCGGACACGCCAGGAGGCACTTCATCGGTGAGTGATGTCGGTACGTACACGCGCTCGCCAAGCGCATGTACGGCGACCTGTTCGCCTGGCTCGTGCGCGCCGTCAACCGCGCGCTCGACACCGGACACGCCAGGAGGCACTTCATCGGTGAGTGATGTCGGTACGTACACGCGCTCGCCAAGCGCATGTACGGCGACCTGTTCGCCTGGCTCGTGCGCGCCGTCAACCGCGCGCTCGACACCGGACACGCCAGGAGGCACTTCATCGGTGAGTGATGTCGGTACGTACACGCGCTCGCCAAGCGCATGTACGGCGACCTGTTCGCCTGGCTCGTGCGCGCCGTCAACCGCGCGCTCGACACCGGACACGCCAGGAGGCACTTCATCGGTGAGTGATGTCGGTACGTACACGCGCTCGCCAAGCGCATGTACGGCGACCTGTTCGCCTGGCTCGTGCGCGCCGTCAACCGCGCGCTCGACACCGGACACGCCAGGAGGCACTTCATCGGTGAGTGATGTCGGTACGTACACGCGCTCGCCAAGCGCATGTACGGCGACCTGTTCGCCTGGCTCGTGCGCGCCGTCAACCGCGCGCTCGACACCGGACACGCCAGGAGGCACTTCATCGGTGAGTGATGTCGGTACGTACACGCGCTCGCCAAGCGCATGTACGGCGACCTGTTCGCCTGGCTCGTGCGCGCCGTCAACCGCGCGCTCGACACCGGACACGCCAGGAGGCACTTCATCGGTGAGTGATGTCGGTACGTACACGCGCTCGCCAAGCGCATGTACGGCGACCTGTTCGCCTGGCTCGTGCGCGCCGTCAACCGCGCGCTCGACACCGGACACGCCAGGAGGCACTTCATCGGTGAGTGATGTCGGTACGTACACGCGCTCGCCAAGCGCATGTACGGCGACCTGTTCGCCTGGCTCGTGCGCGCCGTCAACCGCGCGCTCGACACCGGACACGCCAGGAGGCACTTCATCGGTGAGTGATGTCGGTACGTACACGCGCTCGCCAAGCGCATGTACGGCGACCTGTTCGCCTGGCTCGTGCGCGCCGTCAACCGCGCGCTCGACACCGGACACGCCAGGAGGCACTTCATCGGTGAGTGATGTCGGTACGTACACGCGCTCGCCAAGCGCATGTACGGCGACCTGTTCGCCTGGCTCGTGCGCGCCGTCAACCGCGCGCTCGACACCGGACACGCCAGGAGGCACTTCATCGGTGAGTGATGTCGGTACGTACACGCGCTCGCCAAGCGCATGTACGGCGACCTGTTCGCCTGGCTCGTGCGCGCCGTCAACCGCGCGCTCGACACCGGACACGCCAGGAGGCACTTCATCGGTGAGTGATGTCGGTACGTACACGCGCTCGCCAAGCGCATGTACGGCGACCTGTTCTGTACATTCGGTTTTGTAATGGAACATCTGCATGTTTTAGTCTTTTATTGTAAATAGCTTGGAATTTAAATAAAGAAATATATTTTTCCTATTGTAATATTACGGTATTATTATCTATTTATTCACTTGAACAACACATAATTTTGCTTACTTGACTATTGAATTGTTATTTACGTCCAGCTCTAAACTTTTATTTGAAATGTCGTATTATTAGCGCCGCTCCACACTGCATGTATATTCATTCATCACGTGGATTTTTATGTTGTGGTCACCATACAAATCCACGAACGCTAGGTATAGGTCTTGCTAGCCTAGTAGGTTCGGTCGCGTTCGAGACGAGTTAACGCCGCCGCCGCTTGACACAACTGTAGGTAGGTATTAGTGCCGAAAAAAGCCGACAATAAATGATTGGTTACGTTAAAGAAATACGTACATATAAACATTAACAGATGTCAGAACTCCGTGCGTTGAGTTGTTTATTTGAGTCAAGTAGACATTTTATTGCATCTTTCCATCACACTTTTCAGGCTTTGTACTTTCGACTCTGAATAATTATGTTTATTGATGATGATACGATGACAATAGGCAATATTCGTTATAAGATGTTAAGAATTTGCATGACATTTTAATTTTAATTGTAAATAATAATGAACTGCTAAAAATAAGAGGCGATACGAGAACATAATTCAAAGACGGCGTGTTTAAAAGATGTGAATCAAGATTGCAATAATTTTAAGAATCAAATATTTAACTTTCTGATAGCCTAAACTCTCATGAAACGTTGTATTTTAATACACTTTCAAAATGTCCACCACGGCTCCGTGGTGCAGTGGTTTAACAATTGCGTTGCAGTGCTAAGGGCCGCGGATTCGAATCCCACACGGAACAAGTATTTGTATGGCCTACAAATAATTGTTCCGGGTCTGGATGTTTGTCCTTGTGCAATTTATGTTTGTAAACTGCGCCCACAATACAAGAAAAAATCCTAGTGTGGAGGTTACGTTTTAAAAAAGAAAGAAAATAACTTAGAAAGCAATTCAGTGTCATTTTTCACTTTTCTAAAAGCGTTCTGTTACGGCCCTCAGCTGCCCCGACAAAGTTCGACTGAGCTAGGGCCCATAGTAACCCACTCGATGAGCAGCCGAGGGTTCGGGCCGAATGGCCTATGGGTAATTATTATAAAACGGCTGACAAGCAAACAAAACTTACCCAGTTCCGGAGGCAGGGTCGACCACAGGGCACCGTCAGGTGGTAAGTTGGTGTATGTAAGTAGTGTGTGAATGTAACCTGACGTCCGATGTAATCCGAGAGCAGACCCACAGGCGCTGCTCCTCTCCACAATGTGCGATCACTCCAGTGGGCGTTCACCAATTGAAACATGCCACTTTTATTTCACTATATCAGTTTATCAATTTTAATGTCATGAAGCAAATATAAAGAGGAGACGTTCTAATTAAGTTTCACTATGTAACAACGCGTGACAATTTGCGGGGTGAGGAGATGCAAAGCCCCGCCCAATTTACACCATCTACATCTACCGATAAATAGTAAAACTATTCGAATCGTTCCATATCGATGTTGCAATGTAGTTTAGCTAGCTAGACGGTAGATGGCGGTATATTCGCAAAATGATTATAAACTATAAAAATAACATTTTGGCGATTAAAATTTCTTTGTCTGAATGCAAAACAAATTTCAGCAACTTCGTATGATTATTTTACCAATACTGAGCTCTACGTTCCTATATATTTTTAGTTCACATGACACAAAATGTCGCCATCTAGTGTCGAATATATTTAATTATATTTGAAAGCCGACGGAAAGAGATTTTTCTAGAACTATTTTAATAAATTAGGTTTAAAATTACTTACAAATGAAATGTGAAGCCATCCATAGCATCAGAGCGTCTATCTGAGTAGTTTTTACACGATAAAATACTAACACTTCATCCTTTTCCTCTTAATACTACGAAAATACACCGATTTGCGATTTTCAACACATAAGCGCACAGGACGAGTGCTGACAGTATACTAACTAAAGCCACGCCCACTATGATGACGTCAGGACCTACTTAGAATCACAGTGCACAGTTGAATATGCCGTCTCCTCTTTATATTTGCTTCATGTTTAATGTACATTTAATTAACTTCAAATTTAACTAAATCAACGTTAATCGAACTTAAAACAAGTGACACACTGCACAACTTAAGAACGGTCGGTTAAAGTTCAATGTTCCATGTTCACTTAGCACAAAATTATGATCGAGCACACGCGATCTCCTCTCGAGTCACAAAGTTTCAGCGTTCCGCCCGCCAAAGCAAAAATTTCTTCGTACGATTTTAGAATGCCACACAAGCCACTCGTCGACTCAAATTAATGGCAATCGAAGTTAAGCTATTAATTCAAACTCAAGACGAAGCCTCGTTGCAACGTAAAACGCACAAAACCAAGACAACACTATCAGATGCAGTCTAACTATTCGAGCGGGAGTCACACACTCGTTGACAAGTCCGCGGCGTTCAAGGTACTGACGCGGCGCACGCGGTTGAATGCCGGGAAGCGGAGCTCGGCCGCCATTAATAGCCATTAATAGCCAATAATTCGGCGGCAATTACGTCAACTAAAATACCATCGGATGACGCGTCGAGGCGAGCGTTTTGAAGCAAGTTTTTAAACGTTAAATTTTGGCCTAAACACGTTCACTATCCTATTTTTATGTCCTCGGCACTTGTTGTCTCACTAAAATAAACTAATGATTTAATACGTCCCCATAAAAAAGTCAAGAGGCGTCAAATCAGCTGATCTGGGAGGTCAATGGACAGGGCCGCCGCGACCTTTATTAGTATTGTACGCGACCTTTATAAGTATACTCTGTATTTGTAAAGACTAACCTACTTGAAATAAGGTTCAATTTTCTTTATTTTGTATTGAATGACGGAAATTTATATTAATACAAATAAAACTGCACTTTTAAAAGTCTTATTGCCTTGGGTTACGGCCCTTTTCAGTGTGTTTTGATTGTACAGGTTTAGTGTGACTGTAAATAACGTAGTTTCAATTATTTTTGGGATAAAAAATTACCTATATTAAAAATTATAGAAATCGATTCAGTAAACGATTCTGAACAAAGTACTTTCAGGGTGTGCGTTAATTATGTTACGTGTTGTATATCGATGTTTGTAACACTTAATAACACTTAGTTTTATTTTGACCTTGTACAACCGATAACATCCAAGACTTCTTGAAAGAATGAATTTCGCATAAATTTTGTTTTTAAGTGATGCAATTATCATTTGCAGGCGTCCTTGACATTTACGGCTTTGAAACGTTCGAGATAAACTCCTTTGAGCAGTTTTGCATTAATTATGCCAACGAGAAGCTCCAACAACAGTTCAATTCACACGTTTTCAAATTAGAACAGGATGAATACATTAAGGTACAGTAAAAGATTACTCATTACATACTTTATAATTAAATACATTTTAAAATTCGATTTTTAGTATTGGTTTTTCTTGATAATTATTTGTCTTCGTACTATACCTATCTTAAATTAGCTTTACTAAACCATCTTTGAAAAGTTTAAGTGAACAAAGTAAGAGATTGATTATATTTTTAAAGTTATTGATTTTACGCCTATAATGGTGTGATATTTACTTTACTTAGAAATTATAGCATTTCTTATTTGCAATAACCAAACAGTCTTGTCACCCGCTCTATATGGGTCGGTACAGTATGGAGAGCTCACGCTGATAACTTGGATCTATTTACCTGTTTGATACGAAATTTGGCTATGATTTTAAATGGTACTATAACCTATGTTACGGCCCTCAGTTGCCCCGACAAAGGTCGACTGGGCTAGGGCCCATCAGTAGCTCAATCGACAAACAACCAGAGGGTTCGTGCCCAAATGGCCTATGGATAATCATTATAAAATGGCTGATAAGCAAGCACAAACTTACCGATTTCTGGAGGTAGGGTCGACTTCAGGGCACCGTCAGGTGGTAAGTGGATGTAAAGTGGTGTGTGAAAGTGTGTAAAATGTAACCTGACGTCACCGATGCCGCAGACAGCAGATCCACATGCGCGGCTTTTTTCCTCAATGTGCTATCACTCCAGTGGGCGTTCACCAATTGAAACTTTCTGATTTTATTTCACTATACTAGTTTATCAATTTTATTATACATTGTGTGGCAAGCGTTCTGAACGCAAGCTCCAATAGTTAAGATTGGGCCCAAACAACCTATGTAATAAAGTAATATATTTGAGTTCGTCCTGACAACAGCTCAAAGTTCTAAAAATTTTATAGGCTTTTCGCCTCAGTGAAATATCACCCCGGCATAAAAATTTCAAGGTTTGTACTTTATTCTTTGTACTTCTTTAACATATGCTGGATATATTGCCAGATGTTGTTCTGCCATGTTCACTAGGTAATGCCATGAGTTTTACTCCAAATTAATTCCGGACTTTCTACATTGTAAATATGAAATTTATTAACCGATTCGTTGCGGCACCAATTTTCGACAACTTTTAGCTGTCGCGGCGAACAAATATTTCATGACACGCAGGGCGCGTCAAGCGCCACAGACAAAAATGACACGCCTATTGTGCCATTCGCCATGTGTAAAAGTAATGTTCTTTTTTATGCTTTTTTTACTTGTTTAGACCTAATTAAGTTTATTTGACATCAAACATAAGTTACAAATGGAAGGATACTTGTTTTTAGTGGGTAACTACGTGTTGTTTTACGCGTTTTCTTTGAAATTGAGAGAAAGTTACTTTTTTATGAAGAGATTACAAGCCTTTTGTACTATTTTTTGTTGTTATAAAAAAATCATTTATATAAGTGGGTACAGCTAAATCACCCTGGAATCCTTGATTTTTATTAAATTAAATTTTCACCTAATAATAACATTTGTAAATATCAAACAATGAAGAACCTTAATTTGAAAAAAAAAAGAAAGGTATATCTTCTGTCTGCAGCTACTTTATAGCTGTGGCTCGTATAGGTCGGCTCGACCTGGGTAAGAAGACCACGCTTTCACAGAATACCAGCATAAAATAGCAGCTTAATGCTACTGTGTTTCGTATGGTGAGTGTAGAAAACTGGAGACCCTTTATACTGGAAACGAGGAATTCAATCTTAGTCCTCACTGGTGACAACGCTTCTTCAATTTCATACTTCATTGAGGAATGTAGATGTCTATGGGTCATAGCATCTACTTATCATTAGGTGAACTGTGTGGTCGTTTGTCACCCTTATTCTATAAAAGAAATAAAAAAAAATAGAATTAGTCAATAACTTGACTGCAGCGCCACTTATTGGATCCATATGTATGAACTATCTCATTAAATGTTACTTTAATTCGTGAAGTCGTTCATATGTTACACAATTACTAACAAACGAAACAAAGATTATAATATATGAAGATGTACAAGTATTTTGTATTTCACATTCTGGTCCTTTCAGGAGGAGATATGTTGGAAGATGATCGACTTCTACGACAACCAGCCGTGCATCGACCTGATCGAAGAGCGGCTGGGAGTGTTGGCACTGCTGGACGAGGAGTGTCGCGTGCCGCAGGGCTCGGACCAAGGCTTCGTGGCCAAGCTACACCACAACTGCTCCAAGTACCCGCACTTTCTCAAGCCCAGGTTCGGCAACGCGGGTAAGTTGTTGTCTTTGATGTGTGCCGAAAGACTCTGCCGCAGAATTTACGGTCGTGTTAAGATTTTAAGCGTATGGGGAGTCAATATATTTATGAATGTGTGAGGTACTTTTACTACTTAACACTTAACATCGACTCGTTTGTACTTAATACATATAAAAAGAGACTGCTCCTTTATAAATATACGAATGAGACACATGTAGCATAACATCTGATTAAGTTTCTTGCCCTTAAGATATATCATCCGTACCTTATAAGTGTCGTACGTACGAGAAAGTAAGTTATCAATCTATTCATCATTATCATTATAATAATAATCATCATCGTCATCATCATCACCACAGCCTAACAAAGTCCACCTTGCTTCATGGGGTAAATCGATCGGGTGTATCGATGAAGAATATTTCCTATAGTTGCCTTTGTAGGCGGGTTGGCAGCCGCAGTTTTTTTCAGCATCTTTCCGATAACAACTCCGAATAACGAATGTATTGACTCACAAGAATAACTAACACTTATCCATCGAGAGTATCGTTCGACATATATTCTGTCTTTCAAAATGATAAAGGGCAAGGATGTCAACATTAGTAGATTCTTGAAAAAAATAATGTTTTCTTTGGCCTCGAGAGAAATCTAATAGCACATCGTTAAGCGCTTTCGCTTTGTTGTTGTACTGATGATATAGAACCAGGGGTAGCTCAGGCGTACGAGGGCGGCACTAAAATTTCGGGAATCAAGGAAATGTTACAAGATTACTATTTAAAAATGTATTTATTGCTTTTCGAAGTATTCTCCGCGAAATTTGACACATTTTTCCATACGATGAAAGCAATCATTGAAGCAACCACTCCATTCGGAAGTTGGGGTCTCCAAAATGGCCGTTTTGTAGGCGTCCACAGCTTCTTCAGGTGATGAAAATCTCTGTCCACGCAATTTATTCTTTATTTTAGGGAAAGTATAGAAATCATTAGGGCTTAGGTCAGGGCTGTACGGCGGATGTTCTAATAATTCTATGTTTTCTTGCTCTAAAAACTCTTTTGTTCTGTGTGCGGTGTGAGAACTCGCATTGTCGTGATGGAGGATGATGCGGCGGATGCAGTTCTCTTTACGGAGTTCAGAAACGACCTGTGGCAAACAAATGCTAGCATACCATTCTGCATTAACCGTTCTTTGTCCCTCAAGAGGAATAGTCGTAACATGGCCGGTTTTGGAGACAAACGTGGCCACCATTTTTTTGCAACACTCCGTGAACGAACAATTTTTGTTGCCTTTAACTCGTTTTCGAACACCCAAACTCGTGACTGGTTTTTTGTTTCGGGTTCGTAGGCGTATATCCAGGATTCGTTACCTGATACGATGTTGTATACAGCATTTGAGGATCCTGCGTGGAATCTTTCGAGAGTTCTGACGCACCAAGTAACGCGAGCCGCTTTTTGCTCTTCACAGAGCGAATGCGGTATCCATCGGGAAAACAACTTTTTTACACCTAATTGTTCATGCAAGATTATTTGTATTTGACTCATGCCAATGTCTAAAGTTGCCTGAATTTCGCGGTATGTCACATGTCGATCTTCCTCAATCAGCTTACGCACAGCATCAACGTTTTCTTGGGTGACTGCAGTTTTTGGACGACCTTGACGGGGATCATCACTGAGCTTGACACGTCCACGTTGAAATTCAACAAACCAGCGATAAATTGTGGTTTTGGATAGGGCTTCATCACCAAATGCAGAAATCATCCGGTCAACACACTGTTTTTGTGTTAAACCACTTCTAAAGTCATAATAAATCATCGCTCTTGAATTTTCTCGAGTCAATTCCATTTTCTCAACGACTAAACAAGTTTGATAAAACCTTGTGGCAAGACCGAAAATCTTTATTTAAATAAATAAATGGTATTCGATTTTTAAAATCAAGGAGTTTTCAATTAAAAAGATTTTAATATGACGGGAACAGTGGAAATATTCTATTCCCGATACTTTTAGTGCAGCCCTCGTAGAACGCCTTTCTTATATTTCATCATACTTGAGCAACCTTACTTCAAACATTACATACGTTCGACGAATCCCAACTACACTAAAGACTCATTTCTGCTACATTTGCCTTGGAAATGAGAGTTGACCTTTGCCCACCAACAGGATGCTCAAAGATTGTAACTTATGACTTTACTTGTGGAATACAATATCATTTTTCTTTACAGCTTTCATAATAAAACACTTCGCTGATAATGTGGAGTACCAATGTGGAGGTTTCTTGGAGAAGAACCGTGACACTGTTTCTGAGGAACAGTTGGAATGCATAAAGTCGGCGACCAGCTGCCGACTCATCCACACGATCTTTGCTGAGGAGCGCCCTATGGGTCAGGCTTCTACATTGCCGCCACCATCTAGACGGAGAACTACCCCATCGCAACCTATTGGTAGCCTGACGGTAAGAATAATGTATATTTTTTAAACAAAGAAAAAATAACAGTTTAACAAATTCAAATCGAGATAACTACTTAATATAAACTTATTTTTACTATATTCTTTAAATTTTAGTAGTAAAACTAAATAAAAAATTACATTTTTACCTAAGCGAAAAAGTTAACACTTTTTACTGGAAAGGTAGCATTCCATCTTAGTCCTCACGGGTGACAACGTATCTGCATTTTGATTCGCAAACGAGGATAAATGTAGATGTCTATGGGTCACAGCAACCACTTACCATCAGGTGGACTGTGTGCTCGTATGTCACCCTATCCTATATAAAAAAAGAAAAATTAGACAAATTTGTGATGAATGAGTTGTGTGAGAACGACTATTTCGATAATTACTTATTAGTTATTTTCTTAATAGGCTAACACTGCAATCTCAAAAATGTGATTATTGTTGATTTTGTGATCCTGTACTCCTTCCAACCATTTATTTTACTTTCGATATAAGCACGCTTATCTAGTTCTATAATTATTGGCAGGCAAAATCACAGAGTAAATACAAAGAGGAGACGGCCTAAGCAACTGTGCGCTGTGATTCTAACTAGGCCCTGACGTTATCACAGTGGGCGTGGCTTTAGTTAGTATACTATCAGCGTTCGTCCTATGCGCTTATGTGTCTGAAATCGCAAATCTGTGTATTTTTGTAGTATTAAGAAGAAAAGGATGAAGTGTTGTGTTTTATCGTGCAAAAACTACTCAAATAGACGCTCTGATGCTATGAATGGCATCATATTTCATTTTTAAGTAATTTTATACCTAATTTATTAAAATAGTTCTCGAAAAATCTCTGTGTCGGCTTTCAAATATAATTAAATATATTCGACACTTTGTGCCAAGGGAACTAAAAATATAAAAGTACGTAGAGATCAGTATTGGTAAAATAATCATACGAAGGTGATGAAATTTGTTTTGCATTCAGTTCCAAAGGATTTTTAATCGTCTAAATTTTATGAACAGGCCATCGCCATCTATCGTCAAGGTAGCTAAACAACATGGGAATATCGATAGGTAACGATGCAAGTAGCTTTACTATTTATCGGTAGATTGAATATAGCTTTTATTCGTAAGGTTCGCTCGGTTACATAATTTAAGTACCTTATTGAGCATCTTCCTGCGCTCTTCCCTTCCGTTAACCGTTACATCGCTAGGTACCTACGTCCGCCGGGCCGGCCGACAGCTGACTACGTTGACCGTGACCTCATTACGTACAAGTGTGCTTTGTGCTTTGCTGTAGGCTTCTTTGGTTATTTTCGACACTTGGAGCACTAATACCTAATGCTGCCGCAATATATTCTCTAACTTGCTTCACTGGTATAAGAGGTCCACCATTACGACTTTATTTTTCAAAATAATCACGAATCTGCAACACAAGCTCTCTTGATTGCCCTTTAAGCACCATACCTTTCGGCATTTTGCAAGTATAAAACTTATGGGGAAGAAAGATACACTCAACTCAACCCAACGTAAGACTTCATAAGTAAATCAATACTAAAGAATATAAATGCTCAGCTCGACGCATGAAAAATGTAAATGAATACTCAGCGAACTGAAATACAGTGACTAGCACGAGCATCTCGTTGCGAGTGACAACAAAATGCGTTGCCGTCGCGTCGTCGGCGATGGATGTTGTCTATGACCTGTCTGAAATAAATACATTTACAGTAGTGCTTATGTATGTAAATGGTTTATTTTAATATACAAAATATAGTGATTTAAACGCCTGTTTATAAAACAATACAAAAGCTTGAGCAAAATAAAGTGTTGTGTTAAATACATATCTCGGACTAGTTATTGACAGTCACTTTAGTTGGAGACAGCATATTGAACATGTATGTACTAATCTAAGACAGTTTCTAGCAAATATCACTATTCTCAATAATCGAATTCCATTGAAAATAAAGTTAATGTTATATAATGCACTCGCGGAGTCGCACATTCAATACGGGCTAAGTAGCTACGGCCGAACTTACAAAACATATCTTGATCAGATCTATAATTTACAAGCAAGAATACCTAAAATCATAGTTCCAAATAAAATAAAAAATAAATTCCGCGATGACGTCAGTGGTCTTTTCAAACACTGTAAAATTTTACCAATACATATACAAGTATTAAACATTTTATTAAAAGAACAATTTTTTAATCAATCGCTAAGAAAACCGATCGAGCATTCTGTATACACTCGAGCAATTTCTAAGAACCGTCTCATCGAGCCGCGTGCTTGCAATGCGTACGGTGAGCGGACATGTAGCTACTTAATACCTCGGCTTATCAATAATATGCCGTCAGAATTGTTGGATAATATCAATAAAAATAACATTAAGTGTAAGTTAAAGGATCATTTTCTTAAGTTATTATAACGTGTTTTCTGATATATATTTTTCTCTGAATGTTTGCATGTTTTTTTTTTCTTTTTACAGTATCTTTAATACAATATTACGTTATTATCTTATAAAATTGTAAACTCTCGATAACATAGATATAAACCTTAGTGCTTTCTTATATGCTATCACTATAAATATTTGTAATGCTTGTTGATGTGATAAATAAATGAAAAAAAAATTGATCAAGATTTCTTCTATAATCGATTGTTATAAGAGGTTGAATCAGTAACGCATGGGACATCACTAATTGATAAGTAGAGCAGCTGTCAAAAGTAAATTAAATGGTTGATCGGAGTATGAGTAATTTTACAATGGCTCCAGATACAGCAAAATAGGTGTTCTATATGGGTCCTGCGGTCTTAGAAAAAAATAATTTTACATGTAATAGGAAGTTGGAAACAGGGAGAGGAGCCCTACATTTTATTGCTTAGAGGCCTATACATGACTGTATATACATAGTCAATCCAATCTTAAAAGTAGTGGTAGATGCCTTAAATAATTTATATTAAAACTAACTAAATGTTCCCCGCGACTCCGCCCGCATGTTATTTGGGGTTATAATTTTTTTTGCGCGGAAACCTAATTCTTTTTCTAAAATAAAAGAAGCCTAAGTTACTCCTTGTGACGTCAGCTATCTGCCAGTGAAAATCACGTCAAAATCAGTCCAGCCATTTAGGAGATTAGCCGGAACAAACAGACAGACGGACAGACAGACTGACAGACAGACAGACAAAAACTTTAAAAATTGTATTTTTGTTATTAGTACCGTATATACTTTCATATGCATTTAGTAAAAAGCATAGTGTCTGTTTGTAATGTCAAAATGTAATTTTGACATTATAAACAAACACTTTAATTTTATTTATTTGTATAGATTTCGTTTGTCCAACCTATTTTTTTTAAACTACTTTTACAAAATGAGGATCCTTTGTCCGGAGAAGAATTTTCAAAATGCGTTCCGCAGATATACTCTTTTTGTTAGAGGAAGATAATTATTTCATGTTCTCTTGATCAGCAAACACCGAGACGGGCGTCGGGACAGCAGCAGACGGTGGGCGCACAGTTCCGCGCGTCGCTGTCGGCTCTCATGCACACGCTGTCCGCCACCACGCCGCACTACGTGCGCTGCATCAAGCCCAACGACACCAAGCAGCCCTTCAGCTTTGACCCGGCGCGAGCCGTGCACCAGCTCAGGTACTGTACACTATCCAGTCCAATACCACAATTGCCTGCAAACAGACGCCACCCGTGCCAGTTATAATAATAGCCTCCAGAACGAATTTCGGTCGTAGTGGCCAGTCTCAACAGAAACTAGCCATCTGCGCAAGACAGGATTATAGTGCACGAATGTATGTGCCTAAACTGTTGCACTGGGAGAACAATCCGAACACGAACAAATAAACAATAAGTGTAGGGCCAAAGGCTATAAGTGTTTTCTAAGGCACTGTAGGGAGGCGGGGACATCTTTTTGACTACTGCTGCTGAGAATTTCTTGACAGAAAAATAATTTCTGATTTTGGCCCAATCCGGGATTCGTACCGTACCATTAGACCAACGAGGATGTAGCCGTATATTCATATCGTATCGTGTCTAATATATTAGAATTTCAGATACGTGATGACAATCACAATAGATTGGAATCCGACATTCAATAGTTTCACAGATTAGCATCTCATAACCATTGCACGCCTCATAACGCACTTATACGCTAAATGAGTAGCCGTATATCAAGAAAACACTAATTAATCCACCTTATATTTTCTAAAAAATCATTTAATATTGCTGCTTTGATAAAAACGGTTTGAATAAATTTTTACGTAGACGTCCGGATGTTGATTTTGTATGTGGGTTTTTTTTTATAGGATAAGGGTGACAAACGAGCACACAGTCCACCTGATGGTAAGTGGTTGCTGCGCCCCATAGACATATATCCTCGTTTGCGAATCAAAATTCAGATGCGTTGTCACCCGTGAGGACTAAGATGGAATGCCTCATTTCCAGTAAAAAACGCCTCCGGCCACCTGCACTCACCAAGCGCAACGCAGAGGTAAACCTCTACTTCACACTGGTATTCTGTGAGGTCGTGGTACCACCCCGGTTCGAACCGGCCCATCCGTGCGACAGCAATTCTGCCGCGTGGCTCTACCACTGTTAAAATATGAACAACTCCCGAAAGAAATTGACGTATCTAGACTGGGTTTTTTTATTAGCTTCAGAATTGTCAACTGGTTCCCTATTTCATATCGATAGCCTAGTACGCGTCGTTTATTAATAAAATTATTTTGAAATTTTATAAATTTTATTGCTATTAAAATTTTAAAGGCGCTTTCATTTTCTTCTTTAGCCCTTGATAGACCAAGGACAAATGTACCATACAGCCTGTATTGATTTTATACTTTGTGTAAACGATTTATTTTGGTAATTTATTTTTTCAATAAAATTAAATGAAAAGCTCATGAGGCGTGCACATTCAGATTTTCCAAACTATTTACTAATGTACTCATGTATAATATATATACATACATAATGGGCTAGGGTGTGATGAACATGAGAAGATGACATCAGAAGAATTTTTTTTGATAAATGTTACTAATTAATAATGCATTTATTAATTTTATATTTTGTATGCCTACTGGCGGGACATAGAGAACCAACCTAATATTTATTATGTACATCGAGATCTGTAAACTAACCTATGTTCACAAAATAAACAGATTTGATTGAAAAAAAAAAAACATATATTATATAATGAGTTTAGACTGACAATAATCTGAATACCGATATTAATAAGATCAACAATTTAAAGTACTAATTTGTAATACGAGTATACAAGGTGATGATCGAAAACACCGTAAAACGACTTTATTATAAGAAAATATTATTAAAAGCGTTATTATAATATAAGGGATACATAACCCCTGGGAATGAAGTGATCGCTCGCTGTCATGCAGTTTCTAAAATGATTTTTATAAATAATTGTACAACCTTATTGTATTCGTAAAATGTTACTTTGAAATAGGTTCCGCTAGGTTTCATGTTGGTTCTCTCCTGGACAGAGGATTTCTTTTGATCCAATAGTAAAAGTAAAAATACTTTAAACTCATATTATTTTATAATCTAAGTTGACTAAAAATTCAGCTAATCTATTCTAATATCAATAAAGTTACTTTAATAAGTTTTAGTTGTTCTCTGTTATGTTACTTTTATAAGATTTGATTTTACTCTGTGTTTCAACCTTAAAAATTAATATGTGTATCAAATTAATGATACATACATTAATTTTAAAGGAACTGTAGCAAATTAATGATTGGTCTATATATTATTATAATTTTAACTTTATTTTTGTCTCATAGAGCGTGTGGAGTGTTGGAAACAATCAGAATATCGGCTGCTGGATTCCCTTCGCGTTGGCTGTATCAGGATTTCTTTCATAGGTAAGTAATTTTTAGTTTCATTTTATCCATTAATTTTTATCAAATTGAGCCCTGCAATGGCGGCGTAAGAGATTTCTTCACTCCATATCACCCCGTGGGTATTGTAAGAGGCGACAGAGGGAATGATATGAACTGCAACAATTTCCTGATATTTCAATAATAATAAAAAAACAGTGGTTGAAAACCTGCCTGCCAAGCGCGGCAACTATAAATATTCAATATTAATACTTAAACTATGGTAAATATATGACATATTTATAATACTTTAAGTATTAGTACTAAGCCTATGCAGCTACTCTGTGTCGTACCAATGCCCATTAGGCCACTAAGTTTTTTGGGCGTTTCCCACGGTCTATTCTTATGACAGCTATGAGAAGAAATGAGGCGATATTACGCTGCTGTCATACGTCATATCTATTTACACGCGGTTTTAAATCTTGTGGTTGTTATGTTAGAGTTCTGTATGTATTTCGTTTTTGTTATAAAATCCTTTTGGATTGTAAACCTGTTTTGTTACAGATACCGACTATTATGCTTACACAAAGATGTTGACCGCGGAAACATCAAAGCCACATGTGCCAAAATACTCCAAAAGCACATCAAAGACCCTGACAAATATCAATTCGGAGCTACCAAGATATTTTTCCGAGCTGGTCAGGTAAGGCATTTTTCTACTAAACCTTTGGTGACCTCTCTGTAACTTGACTACTCTATGACACCAGTGTTTCATTATACGGCATACATATACCGTACCTACGCAATGACAAAATTGTAGCAAGAAAGTGCACGCGGTCTTTAGGTGCTGATGGTGCGGAGAGCGGTAAAGAGTTCTGTCCTACCTCTACCTGTATCTACCCAAGGTCGTTGGCGCGGGGACCAGCCTTAATGGAAATGTGATCTCCAATTTTATAATTCCTTAAGGTTCGTATTCAAGTTGATAGCGAAAAACACAAGCATTTCTAATCTATCAGTAAACTGTTATATGCAGTCGGATTTTTATTATTACTGTTTTAAACATCGGGCTTGTATGAAACCAAAATTTATAAATGGTTAATTTGAGAAGATTACTAATACAGAAAGGATTGTATTTCTATTAATTTATGTCTTTTAAATAATGTTTGGGTGTGATGGCGACCTGAGAGAACCCATCATGCCCATTTCATCCCGTGGGAAATTCCAGAATGCAGCGATACGTTTATAGGCTGATGAAGAAGAAAACGTTCACTTAGGGCCAAGTTGGACAAAATATCCTATTTTAGACACGATTTTGACTTCATATTGATACTTCATGAAATCCGGAGACACTGTAGTGTCTCACGCCAAGTACACGTTCAACATATGTATATGTATGTAAACGTGTAGGCGTGAGACTACAGTATATATATTCTCGAATCAGATGTCAACATAACCTCACCAAATTTTTAACTTCGTATATTTAATTATTAACGAAACGTCAACACTTTATACAGTCATTTATTATTTTGTTTATCAATTGCTTCTATATAACACTAAAAATTATTTCTATCTATCAATTATTTCATACTTTTCAATATCTCAAATTTTTGCTTGCTCAGTTTTCTGATTACACAAAAGATTTTATTAATTTCGGTGGAATTTTTTATCTTTTTAAAGATTGTAGACTTGAATGCTTGTCTTTTAAGCCATATTTTCATTTACTTATTTTCAAGTTTTTAGGCTTGGATGCTTGTCTTTTAAGCCATGTTTTCATTTATCGCAACTTGAGCCAGCAGATAGTTGGCAATATTATCTCAAGGCGTCTAAGCAGATAGACACCTTATGTTGAGAATATTGGTATGGCGGTAGGGATGCAACATCGCTCATAAAAAAAGCGATATTAGAACCTCGATATTTTCGAAAGTGAAACATCGATTTTAAAAAAGGGCTATTATAGTATAAATGAATACATGGTTGATAATAACCCCTGGGAATGAGGTAGTCGCTTCCAAGCAGTTTCTAAAATAAATTTTGTAAATAGTTTGTAATCATTTTGTATTGTAACATTTATTTAAAAAAACGTCCCGCTGGGTTTCTTGCTGGTTCTTTCCAGGACAGAGGGTTTTTTCGAACCAGTGGTAAAGTAAAAAATGACTTTCAATAAGAATTACTCATGTAATGTATATTGAATAAAAAATTATTCTCTTCTATTCTACTCTATTCTAAAAACATCAAAGCGTATGAATAGAATATTACTACATTCTATTGACGATGGAGCTATTACTCAAATGGGATTACTCGTTCTCAAAACTAATTCTAAATTAACTAATAGCAATAGAGGTGGAGCAATTTTGGATTTTTCTGGAGCATTTAAGGAGCAATTAATTGGCATTTAGTTTTATTTTAAAAAGTAAATATTTTATGTTTTATAGTAAAATAAAATTTTCGATAATTAATTTTTTTAAATTTGTTATAAATTAACTAATAGCAATAGAGGTGGAGCAACTTCGGATTCTGCTGGAGCATTTAAGGAGCAATTAGTTGCATACAGTTTAATTTTAAAAAGATCTTTAATAGCAAAATTAAATTTGCGATACTTAAATTTTTTAAATTAATTATAAATTAACTAATAGCAATAGAGGTGAAGCAATTTCGGATTCTGCTGGAGCATTTAAGGAGCAATTAGTTGCATATAGTTTAATTTTAAAAACTAGATATTTTATGCTTAATGTCAAAATTAAATCTGCTATAATTAAGTATTTTTAATTAATTCTAAATTAACTAATAGCAATAAAGGTGGAACAATTTCGGGTTCTGCTGGAGTAATTAAGGATCAATTAATTGACATACAGTTAATTTTAAAAAGTAGGTATTTTATGTTTTATAGCAAAATTAAATTTTCCAAATTTTTTTTAACTAATTCTAAATTAACTAATAGCAATAGAGGTGGAGCAATTTCGGCTTCTGCTGAAGCATTTAAGGAGCAATTAAGTAGCATACAGTTTAATTTTAAAAAGTAGATATTTTATGTTTAATAGCAAAATTAAATTTGCGATAATTAAGTATTTTTAATTAATTCTAAATTAACTAATAGCAATAAAGGTGGAGCAATTTCGGATTCTGCTGGAGCATTTAAGGAGCAATTAGTTGCTTACAGTTTAATTTTAAAAAGTGGGTATTTAATGTTTTATAGCAAAATTAAATTTTCGATAGTTATTTTTTTTAATTAACTCTAAATTAAGTAATAGCAATAGAGGTGGAGCAATTTTGGATTTTGCTGGAGCATTTAAGGAGAAATAAATTAGCATACAGTTTTATTTTAAAAAGTAAATATTTTATGTTTTAACGCAAAATAAAATTTTCGATACGTAAATTTTTAAAAATTAATTATAAATTAACTAATCGCAATAGAGGTGGAACAATTTCGGATTCTGCTAAAGCATTTAAGGCCTTAACAGTGGTTGAAATGCCTAAATCTAGGATATTTAAGTAAAAAAATCTCAATAACTGTTCATTTAATCCACAAAGAAAAAATACAAGGTAACAGAAGAAGATTTGGTAAATGTTTTTAATTTAACAAAATTGTATTTTTGTCAACCCCTTATTAGAAAAAAAATCCCCAAAGAGTACCTATCTTTGTCATATTTTGCAAAATTTCTCCAAAACGGCACAAGCTTTTTAAATAGTTCTTACACTAAAAAAAAGGTCTTAAAAATATTAATATTTTTAATTCAGAGTTTTTTTTTATTACCCGTTTTATAAGAGAATATATCATTTTTCCCTGAAATTGGATATATTTACGCGAGCGCGCATGCTCCGTCGCCATGTAAGCTCTGTCACAGTCCGTTTTCGGACATCGTCGAGGGTGGACCGCACGTCGGTGTTGGAGCGACTTCGTTCAAATATATATTAGTTTTTTAAAAGTTTATACTCAATTATAAATATTTTTATGACTAGAAATACCTAATTTAGTTAATATCTGTACACTGGTAACTGTAAATATTATTTTCTAAATAAATGAATTTTTAAAGTGCCCAAAGAAGAAGAAATTTTTGCGGCGACGTTGATTAGTGAAATTGAAAAATGCATTTTTATATAATTTAGATGTGGAACGATGAACATGCTCTCGTTACTTAGATTTCGATCGTTTTTAATACCTATGTAATTTTATTGTCGCATATTTTTATTAATTAGTTGATAATGAATTTTATAATTATGTATTACAATAAAACGCTGTTTTTATGAGTATGACTTTATAAAATATTATTGGGGAGGGAAATAAAGATACAGATACTTACATTTAGGTACACTGTTATCAAATTAAATCAAACAATTTAAATAAATAAAAGAATGGTGCTTACCTAAGTATAAATAACTATATAAAGACATTCTTGGGTTTATGGTTTTTTTTTGTTAGACAAACTATCATCTAAAAAATGTAAAAATTTTAAATTGGAGAGGGGTTTCTCTACGTGATAAAGTTAGAAATGAAGGTATTTGCATTAGAATCAGAGTAACTGACATAGCTCAACGGAATATTACAGTGAAATGGCAATGGGCTAGCAATATAACTAGGAAAACATATAAAAAATAGGAAGAAAGGTCCTCGAGTGGCAACCTCGTACAGGTAAGCGAATTAGTACTCAACCTTTATTCCTCTTCACGTATTCTCATACACTTTTCTTCACACATACACACACACACACACACACACGCACACGCGCGCATGCACACACGCGCGCACACACACACATATGCACACACACAAATAGGTCGCAAATAATTCTTACCTAGTACTATTAGGCAAGAGTGAATACGTTTTTGTTAAGTCAGTGCAATTCACCATCTTAGACTACATAACCACTTACCGATGGGATTGTAGTTGCTTTACTACTTGCTGGGTAAAAATAGTAAAAAAAAAATTGACCCTGTGAAAGTTTACATTTAGATATAATTTTTCTAACCAACCATAAAAATATGATGAGAATATGTATATAAGTATAAAGGTTGCCTCACACGGAACAGTAATAATATAATATTATATCTTCCATTAGCTCTGAAATCCGAGGTATGTTCATATTAAGAGGCTGAATAGAGCCACAATGAAATGCATGGGGATCGTTTTGTAATTTCACGTCATTATCGAAAAAAAAGTTGTACGTATTTTAGGTGGTGGTTTGCAAAACACGATTCCACAAAAATTAACTCAATAGAAAATAATTGCAAAATTGCTTCTAAAAGTACTTCAATTTTCAACGTCAATTTTTTTTACGTGGTAGAGCCATGCTACAGCTATATTTATTAGGTATAGTTGTAGCACGAATGGGTCGGCTCGACCGGGGAAGGGCCACGCTCTCACGGAATAACATGTAAAATAGCAGTTTAACCCTGCTGTGTTTCGTATGGTGAGTGTAGAGAACCGGAGAACATTTTTACTGGAAACGAGGCATTACATCTTAGTCCTCACGGGTGACAACGCATCTACATTTTGATACGTAATCGAGAATAGATGTAGATGTGTATGGGCCGTAGCAACCACTTACCATCAGGTGGACTGTGTGCTCGTTTGTCACCCTTATTCTATTTAAAAAAAAAAAAACTTTCTGAGATTTCAGTAAAATAATGTTAAGCACTCGTACAATTATGTCTCATGTTAATAAAGCTATTGGGCTATTTTGATTTGTAATAAAGTGATTTTACTTT